ACTTTCATTCTTCGCTTCGACAGAGATTTGAACATGCTCACATGTAGTCATTTTAAAGCTTTATCTATTGATTCGAAAGCGTATTTATATTACATATTATCTGTATAATACTTGTTAAAATAAAATTGCTCATGTGTAATGGATTAAGGGTATAATAATTATATAAATAATCATATGAAATAATTCTAATAATAATAATTGCAAAAAAATAAAAATTTTGTCTTTAAAAAAAGTGTACTGTGAAGTGACCTTTTAGTGCAAGAGAAACTTAAGGAGTGGCTTTATGGTGTCAGAGATGTGTTACTTTGCTCACAGCTGATTGGCCCAATTTCAGTTTGAGATCTCTCAGCCAGAACAAAACCTGTCCTGGAACAGGTTAGACTAGCTACTATAGTGAAGAAACCACTAAAAGCCGATCCACTATCATGGTACCTAAAACGAAGTGCTGGCACAAACTATACTGAAACATACCTGGCTAGCCACTTAAATCTGTTTAATGATATAGACGCCATGTGTGTTAATAATCAATATCAAGATTTGTTACAATGATATAAAAAATGTAATCTAGAATTTATATATCTGTTGCTTCAGTCATGTTAGTTGTATCAGAAACTATTGGAAGTAAGACTATTGATGATTGTCAGAAACTTGTTTTGAGTGGTCTAAAAAGCTTAAGCTGGTTTTTCAAATAGGGAAAAAGACAGATGTAAACAAGGCAAGAATATTCTCACTAATATTAATACAATAGTTTATTGAGTTATTGAAATGTGTTTTATTGTATGCTCTGTAAATGAAAGCAGGTGATCTGATCACTGTATATAGCCAACTTCATATGAAAACAGTTATCTAAGACTATTAAACAAACTTACCATCAGATGTGAGCTTTTATCTCTCTGAAGTGGCATGGCATCTTTTGGTCGGTTTGAAGAGTGTAGCGAGAGATTTGTCCACCCACAAAATACCGTTTTGATAAATGTTTTTGGCAAGTAAGTGAACTCCACCTTGACACAGACAAAAACGACTGAATCAGATACAGAAACTCCAAAAGCAGGTTATAATGATCTGTTATGACGTTATATCATCATATTACAAACGTTTAAATCTGGGTTGTGCAACTACAGTGCTGGAGGCCGTACACCTGGCTGTAGTTTTCAAGTATCCTGCAGACTTTGATTATATTTTTCAGTGGTCATTCCTATCAGAGTCCTGCACAGGTCCTGTTTGGTAAACCCGCAGTAATTAACAGAAGACCAGTTATCCAACAGTAGCACTAATTTAATTCCATATTCGGCCCGACCCATTTGACAATGACCACAACCCGAATCACACCCGTATTAAATCTAATACATGTTTTTTTTTTTCCATTTAACACAAGCAATTAAATCATTGTAAGTTGATACACTGAAGACAAAAAGACAGGCAGTGCAACATGGTAATTAGGTTAAGAGAACGTGCATCAGTCATGTAAACAATACAAAATACATCATGTGAACAATCATGTGAACATTTAAACAAATATGCATAAACTATACGCTTGAGGTCTCAATAAATGAAAAGAACATAGCCAAATATGGTATATAATGAGCTATCAACTATATCTTAATTAATTAGGCTATAGGAAAAAATATGTAGGCAACTTATTTCACAACAGTGTTGAGTGAGAGAGAGACTTTGACTTTTAAAAGCAATTTATTTTACAATTAAAAACTTTATTATATTATTATTATTATTATTAAACACATATTCCAAATAGTCATCACAGCATAATTAAAAAGTAACAATGACAAAATATACAGAAAGATAGATATTCACATAATAATAATAATAAAATGTCAGGCGGAAATAATTATGCACACAGAACAAACTAAAAAAAAAAAAAAGCCTGCAGTGCGGTTAGCTTGACAGATTCTGGTTAAACACCAAACGATGGAGTTAGGGTTCATTGGTAAAGAAAAGATATATGAGAAACACCTAAACACTTAAGAGAAAGACTAAAGGCAGGTTGGGTCAATATCAGAAAATAATTTGTTACGTTTAGTTCTGGACCTATGAGTTCTATGCACTATACCTTCAATTGAATGAGAGTATGCCTGGCATTAATCGATGATGATGATGATGATGATGTGTATTTGAGCAAGGATTGAGTCCCAAACATTTTCCTCAAGTAACAGATTTAGCTCCTCCTCGCAAAGTTTCCTCAATGGAGCCACTGAGGGGGACTGTTATGTATTAATTACAGGTTAAATCTTAGAGATCACCCCCTTCATGGATTTGCGATGTTCTAATATACCCTCAAGAATATTCTGAAGTGGAAGCAAGGGGAAATTAGTTAACTGTTTGCGAATAAAGTTGCATATTTGAAAATATTTAAATTAAAGAGAGCTGGGTAAATCAAATTTCTTTTGAAGTTGAGTAAAGGATGCAAAAGTGTTATCTACGTATAGTTGATCCCTCCAAATATTGAAGGCCCTGTCCAGCAAAGAAGGTTGAAAAACATGTTTCAAAAAACAGGCACTTTACAGTCCTTAAGACTGAGGTCATGTCCACACGTACACGGGTATTTTTAGTATTTCCTATAATACTAGTAAATTATAGGATAGTAATTATTATTATAATAGTAAATATTGAGTTTTTCCTTTCGTTTTAAAAAAAAAATCTCCGTCCACATGAAAACGCAAACGCATGCTAAGAGCATGCCAAGCCAACAGGTGGCGATATAATCTCAACCGTAAAACCATGTTGGCCAATCAGAAGCCTGATAAAGTTTCCAGTAGGCGGAGATAACAGCGCAGGCTCCGACGTCACAAGCCAAAAACTCCAGTTTCGCTGTCTACACGATAACACTGCAACCAGAGTTTTTGAAAATCTTCACCCTGGCAGGAATTTTCAAAAATTTTCAGTTTCAGTGACCTCGTGCTGCGTTTACGTGTGGACGAACGGCTAAACCGCATAGAAAAAGCTGCGGTTTTAAAAATAACCGCGTTTGTGTGGACAGGTCCTATAACAGAGACTCATAAGACTCACGTGAATCATGAGCAGAAAAACCAGAGGAAGACATCAGCATCAAATATATCTATAATACAGCATTAATCAGCACTTATACACTCATAAACAGTACATGTTATACGTTTTCCCAATATTCAAGTTTTCTATTTTAAGTCTTTTGTATTTGAGAAGTTAAATACAGACAGCTAGGACAGTGTAACACTGTCAAATGCAATGTCTTCCTACTCCATTATTTCACCCTCATTATAAAGGTCAGTTGTTTTTTCACAGTATGTTTGTCACCTCCTGCTGGACGGCTTTGGTTGTTATGTCACGTGATTCACTCACATTCGTTTCTGTGTCTGTGCACTGATAATTATGTACATAAATAGATGACCTGGGCCCGGTTTTTCAAAAGTAATCCACTAGGATTTTGGATAACGGATTGGATCAAATCTTGAAAATGTGTTTTTCAAAAGAAAAATCGGATTACATAATCGGATTAGATCACGTAATCCAATCTTGGTTTTGATCCGGATCAAACCTTTAGTTTGGGTTTTTTTTAGAACTTTTTTGTAGGATTTGGATCACTTTGATCCAAAAAATCTGGATTAAACTGATCCCATCAGAAGGGTGGATTCAGCGTGGATTTCATGGCCAAAATGTAATGAAAATATATAGATATAATATATAATAATATATAGATAAATATATATAATATATAGAGCGCTCTCCCTCAGGATGCGTGCATCATGGACAGACCCAGGCCACTTGACAACGCAGTTGGTGATGATGAGGTCAGCATCACACACAAGTTGGACATTGATGCTGTGCCTCCCCTTTCTGTTTATAAACTCCCATTCATTCTCACGAGGTGCTTGTATATGCACATGTGTGCAGTCGATTGCTCCAATAGTATTGGGCATATTCCCCAAAAGAAAAAAGCTGCGCTTGGCCTGGGCAATCTGGTTGTCCTTTGGAAAAGAAACAAATTCATTGACCAGGCTGGCCAGTGCGATTGACACATCTTTCACCACATCACACACAGCTGATTTCACCACTCCCATATAGTCACCAACAACTTGATAGAAAGTCCCACATGCATAAAATCGGAGAGCAATGAGGATCTGGTCTTCCACAGACAGACCGTGACTCCTTTGGGTTCTGTGTTGAAGTTTTGGCCTGAGAAGGTTCACAAGGTACTCTATATCAGCCTTCCCAAAGCGAAACCGGACATACAGCTCCTCAGTGGTGTATTGCTCCAGTGGCTTGGTACGTTCAACATACACCCTTTGACGGTATCCTCTCCTGGCAAAGTGATGGTGGCGGTGGACAACACCTGCCATTTCACTGTCTCTCTGTGAATCCTCTGAGAAAGGCTGATTTATATGGCAGTGTAGTTGGTCTTTTCAAACACACCTATTACAACTGATTAGTTTTGGCTTGCGTTCAATTGAGGCAATTGGACCCAAGGCCTATAATTGATGAACAATGTTCACTATAGTAAAGCAACGGAACCATGGACTCAAGAAGCTGTAACTTCACTGCTGCTGAAACCAATGCACTACTAGAGGGTGTTCGGTGCCATTATGGAACAATAGTGGGAAGTTTTAATTCTGCTAAGGATACCAACAAAAAGAAAAATGATGTTTGGATTTTAATCACAGAAAATGTGAATGCCATAGGGTCTGGCCAGAGGAGGACCACAGACCAAATCAAATTGCGGTGGAAGAATCTTAAGGCCAGGGCAACAAAGGACCATGCTGAAGCCAAAAACCCACAAACAGGCAACAAGCCATTTAAGAGGGGAGATTACACAGATGTGGTCCTCGACATCATTGGAGGTGAGAAGTCGCAAGCTCTCCATGGTATTCAAGGTGTTGTAGGGGATGGCGAGCCTTGGATTGAGGAGGAGGAGGAGAATCTGCCAGTTCCTCCTGAGGCTGATCCAGAGAGCGTATTTATATTGAATCTCAGCTCTGTTCCTGAGGAAGAAGCTGGATCCTCATTGGTTGAGCCAGTGGTAGTTGCCACAGGATCTCAGAGGAAAGGCTTGAAGCGCCCTTCATCAAACAAAGATGATGATTACAAGGCACTTCTGCAAAAAGAGACTGAAAGGGCAGAAGCACAGCTTCGTCTGGCAGAGGAACAACTGACTCTGACCAAACTGCAGCAAACCAAGGCCAGACTTGAGATCCGCCTCCTAAAGGCTACGCTCAGACAAGCTGGTCTCTCCACATCAGATGAGGAAGTATGAAATTATTGTGGAGTATTTGACATTAAGTCTTTTTTTTTTAATTCAATACATCAAAACTTGTTACTTGTTATAAATATCCTCAATGTACAGTGTTTGTGTTGTAGGTCTCAGATGAGTGGACTGCTGGAAGAGGATGGGGTGGGGTTTTTCTTGTTTTTAGTTTTTTTAGATGTGTGGGTTTTCATTTCAAATAAAAATAAACTTATATTGACCCCACACTGGCTATTCTACTTGTTGCTCTTTACATATCTATAGTTCTACATTGTGATTTCCTATCCTGTTTGAGCACTGGTTATCCAGCACTGGTTATCCAGATTTGGTGATCCTGAAAAGTTCCTATCCGGATCAGATTGATCCAATCCGATGTTGCTTTAAAAAACTGGCTCCAAAAGTAAGCTGGATTACGTGATCACGGATCGCAAAAAAAGGATTACTAAATCCGGATCAATTTTATCCGGATTAAACCTTTTGAAAAACCGGGCCCTGAAGATCCTGATAAAGTCCTTTAGCGCCTCAGTGAAGCTGTCAATCATTACGTCACACTCCCGTTTTTATAGCATCACATTAACTAAAACCTGAATTCCTTAATTATTATAAGATCCCTATAACTGCTAAAGAGTTTGTGTAACGGGTCCCAGGTAAGGGAATCCACTCTGCGTTGTGTTGATGTCACTCAATAAAGAAACTTCAGACCGCTCACTGCTTGGCACTGTCTTTATTTTCTGCATAAATGGGGAAATATGTTGAAAACATGAATTT